TGGCTGAGTGGACCTGCAAGATGTTAATCTCCAAGTCCCCCTGTTTGAGCATGAAGCCAACTTATCCCTTTGCATGATTACCTTTTTGTAAAAATTTCTACGCTTCACTCACTGGAAGATCAATTTAGGATTGATTACGGCTGAGATTCATGTTTACTTGGGTTTCTGTGAAACTGTTGCATATCAAGATCACATGAAATGGAAGCCTGAACGTTGCCCTTTCGAAGAGACAATATAATTGTGGGCGCCGTCACCATGCATCAGCAGTCCCCCCCCCCCATCGAAGCAGTTTAATTCTTGACGTGGGGGATATCTCCGAATGCGGCGGTGGATCTGGCAGAGCGAGAGAGCATGAGGGAGCGGGCAGCAGCTCCGGGAGACGTGCGTTGAGGGGGTCAGCCGAGGATACGGGCTGTCGCCCTCTCTTTTGTCAAATTTTTTTGACAATTCCTTCGGCAACGTTATTTTCTAGCGGCGAACGTGTCCGCTGTTTGCCTGCGGCGGTGTGTTTTTTTTTGTGTGTGCGCGCGCGCTCGGCTTGCGGATTTGCTTCGGAGGAATGAAAGCGATAATAAAAGTGCAGCCGGCGGTTTAATATCAGGACGGCTTGAGGCTTCGGGGGGGTGCGGGGGGAAGCACATTTTCTCGTGGGGCTCGATCAGGGCTGCGTGGTACAAAGCCCATGGAGTCACGCGGGAGGAGGAGGAGCGGGTTCCATCCCACGCTTAGCGCCCCCCCCCCCCTCATCCGTCCAGCCCCCCTGCTGCCGGCCGTTTTCTGGCAGTGGGCCGTCTCCCCAGCCCGAAGGATTACAGATCTTCATACCTTGGCAGCCACTCACTCTTTCCTCTGGCTCATGGAAAGCACATCATCTTTCCAGCTCCCAGAGGCAGCAAATTTTGACGTGTTTTTATTTTTGTGGGAGAGTTTATTTCATTCATTTTTTTCTTTCGACTTTATTCGTAAGCCGCATGGGCCTTGGCATCCAGGTCTGGCCAGCCTGCAGCCCCCCTACTTTTGTCCAGATGGTATGGGGCCCTTAGGACGTTTTGTTGTGCGTCAGGCCAAGAAAGTGGAACACTCTCGGAGTTTTTCGTTTTAAATGGTTCTCGATGGATTCTGTGAGGTTTTTTTTAATCGATTTCCACTCGGTACCAGCTGATTCAAGGTCGTGACTAGTTACTCTTAAAAAAACATTTGAAAACATTTAAATATTCACTGACTCAGAACGTAATGATAATAATGTCTATTAATAGTTGCCACCAGTTTTTTTGCTGCGGTCAGAGCAATTTATCCACAGTCAAAGTTTCAAGTTCAAATCCCAGCCAGGGATCGTTTTCACCCATTTCATGTGTGAGGTTGATGAAAATGAGTTTCAGCTCTCGGAATGTTGACAGTCCATGTCGCACAAATGCACGGACCCCTTCCATAGGAATGTGGAATTTTCATCAACTAGCTCTAAAGGGATGCAATGGTTGATGAGCATCACTCACTTGTCAAACATGAAGATCCTGCAGCCCGTGATAGTCTAATAGTTTCATGTATGTATGTTGAACTTCTTTCGCACCGTACGTAGCCAGCCGCGCTAATCAGAGGTACTGTTACATAAGCTGCCAAAAAATATATATTGTTGAACAAAAATCTTGACCAAAAATAAATGGGCATTCTTTCAACGACTGTGAGCTCTTGCATTCTTTAAGTTGACATTACGTGTTTAAGAAAGTGTCCGCGCACTTGTGTGTGTGTGTGTGTGCGTGGCTACGGTCGTGTATGTGTCTACAGTTGTGTTGTGGTTCGTGTGGGATTCACTGCCTTCACTGTACCACATTTCCAAATTCCCTGTACAGGATTTGTACGGCAGCATCTCTTTAAATGCTGAAGAACTGTGTGTCTGTGTGAACACGTATCATTATATTTCGTGAATTACCAAATGTACGCAAGTTAGGTTCCGTCGGGTGCAGGATGCCCGTTGGACTGTACAGTCACGAGTGTCAAGCTCTGACTTTCAAGGAATAAAATGTTTCTCTGAGAATGGATTCAGCGAATGAAATTAAAATAAAGCAAGCATTTTTATGCCTATTAATATGGATCGACAATTTTGTTTTCATCACCTCATTGATTTCTATTATCGCAGAGCGTTTCACCCTGGCTATGAACATTGCTTTTAGGAACGAGGAAGTGGACAGCCGCATTGGCCTGAGTATTAAACCGTACGGTGCGGGAGCCCACGTGCACCGTGAGCTCCCAGCTGATTGTGAATGAAGTCAACGTGCTTGCGTGCTCCGTGCGTTCGTTCGCAACTCTGCCCTGAAGCCACTGCCGAAGCCGTTGGAGGAGCGCGCGCAACCTCGGTGCTTGTCGAAAGAAGTTCAACATTCATACGTGCGTCACTCCTGTACCCGCACCGTTTGAACAACTACCATGGCATGTCCCCCGCTAACCGATTAACCGCCTGCAAACCGGTGCACTTTATTTTATTGCACGGCATCGTGGTCATTTTCCATCGATGTTCAAGATCTGACCGTTTCATATATTTGTCTACATCCCAGTCCCCAATGAGTCGGATGTGTGAGCTACAGTGTGTAGACAAACATTACAAGGACTTTATGGATTCTTAGGATTCAGTGTTAATGTCTGAATCTACCCTTACAATACGGTTCCTTAATTTTCTTGCTTTACGCAATTTTTGTTTCATAGAGTGCAGTAAGGGGTGCCACGGTGGCGAGATGTTACCTCCCTCTCCTTGTATGCAGGAAGTCGTGGATTCGATCTAAACCCTGACGCCTGCTTTATATTCGGAGTTTGCGGTGTCTCTCCCCCCGCGGTCGTGTGGATTTTTCTCTGGGTCCCTTCCACATTTAGAATCAACATCACGCGTTTAGAGTATTTGTCTGCTGTAAATTTCCACGTGATAAGCCACTTCATTGAGCTAATATTTGTGACTAGATCGCTTCTGAAAAAAAGCAATATAGCTCAGTGGGCCTTAGTATTTTTTTAAATTGCAGATGCTTTATTAAATGTGTGTACAAGTTAGCGCTATCCCTGTGTTGTTGCCTCCCCCAAGAATGTTACCACGATTGTACGAGTGTTAGTCCACCGTCTCCTCGCCCTTTGCCCACGCCCAGCTATTTTCACGAGATCTCCCTTTCCAAGCAGAGAAAGAAAATAGTCGTCTAAATGTTCTCTCTCACCTGGTTCACGTGAAGGGTTTTATTGGGTGGAAATTTGGCAATCTGCATTTTCTACCAGAAGCCACTCACTCCTGGGTCAACTGATCCTAGGGTAGGGGTCGGCAACCCGCGTGTGGCTCTCTTTAAGGAACGCTTCGTGACGTACTACTTTAAGCACCATCGTCACGTGTTCACGTCGCATTGGCGGCTCTTGAAACATCGAGCGTTTCTTTTTTACCGAATTCGAAAATAAATGTTTTACCTTATCGTTGTTTTGGTTGCTGAGCCCTGTCCTAGAGTAGTAACTTCTGTACTTGGGTGCGGTTTGGTCAGCATCAGCACTGGGGAGACAAAGGCGGCCCGGCCTGTGCAGTGCTCACCACTTTCCCCCACCGCGCACTGTGCCGGCCTTAATAGGTGCTCACCAATGGCTCTTGTCCCTGTTTATTATGCCAACAAGGGCATCTTTGTGTTCATGTGTTTACGAGTGAGTGTGTGTGCGTGTGTTATTAATATTTCCCAGCAATATGCTGCATAACTGCTGGAGGCATATGGTCTGCTTACCAGTTCAATTATTCCAAACATGAACATATGTTCTGGATTTGGGGCAATTTTCATCTGATTGATTCTATACCGGGTTAGGTGATGGCAGATAGTGATGTTACTCTCAGGTGAATTTAGCTGTGTGTGTGTGTCTGTGCTTCTATTTGGTTGTCCACTTGTCCGTCAACGTGAGTGAGTGTGTCTCGATATAGCTGCATGCGTGTACGTGTCTGTACTACTGTCTCTTTGTCTATACCCCTGTGTGTGTCTTTTTACACCCGTGTGTGTCAATATCGCTATATCCTTACCCCTGTCTCCATTGCCCCATGTTTCTGCCTCATTGTGTATGTGTCTGTACACGTCTTTGTGTACGTGTCTTTGTGTACACGTCTTTGTGTACACGTCTTTGCGTACGCTATTTGTGCACACGTCTTTGTGTACACGTCTTTGTGTACACGTCTTTGTGTACTCATCTTTGCACCCATGGGAGTACGTCTTCCTGACCCACTGTGCTCACTTCTGTACTGGCGCCACCCCTGTATGTGCTCATTGTCTGATCTCTGTGCACTCTGTACACGTGTCTCCTGGTACCCTTTGTGTCTCTGCCCCGTGCTTGTGTTGGTCCCTTTTTGTTGGCCTCTGTACTCCTGTGTATAATGTACACACTCTGTGTGTCCATGCATTTGTCCCTGTATATGTTCCTGTACACTTGTGTGTATATTTACGTCGCTTCACCTTAGTGTACATGTTCCTATACCATTGTGTGTACATCTGTCTCTACCTTTATATGCATATATCCCTACCTCGTTCTCTATCCCCGTGTGTGCGTCTTTACCCCCGTGTGAACAATCACTCATGTGTATGTGTGCCTTACCTCTGTTCCCCCTACCGCCCATGTGAGATGCTGCCGTGATGTAACGGTTATTAAGGTTATCGTACTCTGGACTCGCATTCCAGAGGTCGCCGGTTCGACCGCCAGGCGCGGCAGTTGCAAACAACCTGCGAGTTTCTTATGTTGCCCTGCCTCTGTCCACCCGGCGGTAAAAATGGGCTCGCCATACTCGATTGGCAGGTTGCACGCCGTGGGGTTGAAGCGTTAAAGATGATCCCACGTCTCGTGAGGCGTCGTACGAGATACCTTCCAGAAGGGCTATCTCGAGCTTCCTCTAGCGGAGGCCAATCTCTCGTGACAGCGGCGGCTTGTGAGCGAGCGGTCGCGGGGCTGCACCCTGACCCACGAGCGTGTTGTTCGTTCCCCCCCTGTCTCTCGCCCCCCTCCCCCCCTAGAATGCGTGCCCCCGTGGGCGGAACTCGCTGAGCGCCTGGCGGTGACGTCGCTGCAGCAGCGAGGAGGCTCCACGTCGTGCGTGGTGCACATCCGCGCGCCCGCCGGCCACTTGGTGGCCCTCAACGTCACACGGCTCGCGGCTCACGGGCGCGCGGCGCCAGCGGCGGCCCCGCTGGCCCCGCAGCAGCACGCTCCCCCGCCGCCGGGCCTGCACGTCCACGCGTCGCCCGCTCCCTCCGGCCCGCCCGCGCCGTACCTACCTCCCGGTCAGTGCCGGCAAAATTTCTTCAACCGAACTTTCGTAAATAGAGGGATACGTGTACAAGTATCGAATCGTGTATTTTTATCGTGATTAGTTGTGCCTAACTAAGTAGCAGTGGATGGTGGTAACAACTAGAAAAGCAAGTTACCAAGGCACAAAATCTTACATAGCCTGCTGTGTGGGTCGTGGAGGTTACTTGGACATATTGACGGTACACCGGTGCAACATAACACGCTGGCCCTCATTAAACAGTTTCAAATCTAAATTTGAATCAGCAAATCTGTTTACCAGTTTTTATTTATTCAGTCTACTGAGAATTGCTAAAAAAAGTCAACATTGACTGTTGATTTGGGTCTGTTGAATCGAGGAACCCACCCGATCAAGTCTAGGGCATGAGTCAAAACACTGCGCAGCCGATCTTCATCAGGCTGGGTGCTGCTATACGGCAACAGCCTGTGAAGCTTCATGTTCAGCTGCTCACATAACCTTCCTCTTCCCACTGCTTCGACATCATGAGAACTGATTTTGACGCATCACCACCACCCTGCAAAAATTTCTGACTGGGTTTGCGAATCGCCAATATGTTCACGTAACCGCACTTTACCATGCCGGTCGGTGCAGGTTGGCAGCGACATGCGTGCCAACGCTGACCCCGCAAACCAGACTTCCCTCGAGTAGACAGTCATCCTTTTAATGTATGCAGCAGGATAACTGTATGCAACTGTATACTGGTCCCAGCTGCCTTCATGTCCTTTGTCTGCGTAGATTGAATAAGTTACAATCTCACTTTTTTGGGGTTTGTGGCTGTCACGAAGGCGTGTGTACAATGTGCGCGAGAATGGTGTTGTGATCTTGATATGAAAAACATTCTGGGATTTATGTTGTGTTTTGCGGATTGAGAAACCTTTTTGCGCATGAATCATGACTTGTCTCCATCCCGCACATATTCTCTTCTGGCTCATGCATTCCGCTCCTGAGCTAGAGAAACTACTTGAATTAGTTTTTTGTTAAAATTCATTTTGGCAATGCCCACCATGGCCTGATCCACTTCACCTTTGTCTCACGTACAGTAGGCCACTCTGTTTTCACAAACGCACACCCTTGGGCAAACACCACACATTGTTGTCACACCGTTCTGGTCTAACACCTTAACCCACACTGTCCTGGTCTCATGCCTTAACCTGCACTGTCCTGGTCTAACACCTTAACCCACACTGTCCTGGTCTAACACCTTAACCCTCTCCGTCCTGGCCTCCACCTTAACCCACACCATCCTGGTCTCAAACCTTAACCCACACCGTCCTGGTCTAACAACTTAACCCACTCCGTCCTGGTCTTACACCTTAACCCACACTGTCCTGGTCTGACACCTTAACCCACACCATCCTGGTCTCACACCTTAACCCACACCGTCCTGGTCTAACACCTTAACCCACACCATCCTGGTCTCCCACCTTAACCCACTCCGTCCTGGTCTCACACCTTAACCTGCACTGTCTTGGTCTAACACCTTAACCCGCACTGTCCTGGTCTAACACCTTAACCCACTCCGTCCTGGTCTCACACCTTAACCCACTCCGTCCTGGTCTAACACCTTAACCCACACCATCCTGGTCTCACACCTTAACCCACACCGTCCTGGTCTAACACCTTAACCCACTCCGTCCTGGACTCACACCTTAACCCACTCCGTCCTGGTCTCACACCTTAACCCACACCGTCCTGGTCTAACACCTTAACCCACTCCGTCTTGGTCTCACACCTTAATCCACTCCGTCCTGGTCTCACATCTTAACCCACTCCGTCCTGGTCTCACACCTTAACCCACACTGTCCTGGTCTCACACCTTAACCTGCACTGTCTTGGTCTAACACCTTAACCCGCACTGTCCTGGTCTAACACCTTAACCCACTCCGTCCTGGTCTCACACCTTAACCCACTCCGTCCTGGTCTAACACCTTAACCCACACCATCCTGGTCTCACACCTTAACCCACACCGTCCTGGTCTAACACCTTAACCCACTCCGTCCTGGACTCACACCTTAACCCACTCCGTCCTGGTCTCACACCTTAACCCACACCGTCCTGGTCTAACACCTTAACCCACTCCGTCTTGGTCTCACACCTTAATCCACTCCGTCCTGGTCTCACATCTTAACCCACTCCGTCCTGGTCTCACACCTTAACCCACACTGTCCTGGTCTCACGCCTTAACCCACTCCGTCCTGGTCTCACACCTTAACCCATTCCGTCCTGGTCTAACACCTTAACCCACTCCGTCCTGGTCTCACTCCTTAACCCACTCTGTCCTGGTCTCACACCTTAACCCACTCTGTCCTGGTCTCACACCTTAACCCACTCTGTCCTGGTCTAACACCTTAACCCACTCTGTCCTGGTCTAACACCTTAACCCACTCCGTCCTGGTCTCACATCTTAACCCACTCCGTCCTGGTCTCACACCTTAACCCACTCCGTCCTGGCTCACACCTTAACCCACACTGTCCTGGTCTCACACCTTAACCCACTCCGTCCTGGTCTAACCCCTTAACCCACTCCGTCCTGGTCTCACACCTTAACCCACTCCGTCCTGGTCTCACACCTTAACCCACTTCGTCCTGGTCTAACACCTTAACCCACTCCGTCCTGGTCTAACACCTTAACCCACTCCTTCTGATCTCACACTTTAACCCACTCCGTCCTTGTCTCACACCTTAATCCACACCGTCCTGGTCTAACACCTTAACCCACTCCGTCTTGGTCTCACACCTTAATCCACTCCGTCCTGGTCTCACATCTTAACCCACTCCGTCCTGGTCTCACACCTTAACCCACACTGTCCTGGTCTCACGCCTTAACCCACTCCGTCCTGGTCTCACACCTTAACCCATTCCGTCCTGGTCTAACACCTTAACCCACTCCGTCCTGGTCTCACTCCTTAACCCACTCTGTCCTGGTCTCACACCTTAACCCACTCTGTCCTGGTCTCACACCTTAACCCACTCTGTCCTGGTCTAACACCTTAACCCACTCTGTCCTGGTCTAACACCTTAACCCACTCCGTCCTGGTCTCACATCTTAACCCACTCCGTCCTGGTCTCACACCTTAACCCACTCCGTCCAGGCTCACACCTTAACCCACACTGTCCTGGTCTCACACCTTAACCCACTCCGTCCTGGTCTAACCCCTTAACCCACTCCGTCCTGGTCTCACACCTTAACCCACTCCGTCCTGGTCTCACACCTTAACCCACTCCGTCCTGGTCTAACACCTTAACCCACTCCGTCCTGGTCTAACACCTTAACCCACTCCTTCTGATCTCACACTTTAACCCACTCCGTCCTTGTCTCACACCTTAATCCACACTGTCCTGGTCTCACACCTTAACCCACTCCGTCCTGGTCTCACACCTTAACCCACTCTGTCCTGGTCTCACACCTTAACCCACACTGTCCTGGTCTCACACCGTAACCCACTCCGTCCTAGTCTAACACCTACACCCACTCCGTCCTGGTCTCACACCTTAACCCACTCCGTCCTGGTCTTACACCTTAACCCACACTGTCCTGGTCTCACACCTTAACCCACTCCGTCCTGGTCTCACACCTTAACCCACTCCGTCCTGGTCTCACACCTTAACCCACTCCGTCCTGGTCTCACACCTTAACCCACTCCGTCCTGGTCACACATCTTAACCCACTCCGTCCTCGTCTCACACCTTAACCCACACTGTCCTGGTCTAACACCTTAACCCACTCTGTCCTGGTCTCACATCTTAACCCACTCCGTCCTGGTCTCACACCTTAACCCACTCCGTCCTGGTCTAACACCTTAACCCACACCATCCTGGTCTCACACCTTAACCCACACCGTCCTGGTCTAACACCTTAACCCACTCCGTCCTGGACTCACACCTTAACCCACTCCGTCCTGGTCTCACACCTTAACCCACACCGTCCTGGTCTAACACCTTAACCCACTCCGTCTTGGTCTCACACCTTAATCCACTCCGTCCTGGTCTCACATCTTAACCCACTCCGTCCTGGTCTCACACCTTAACCCACACTGTCCTGGTCTCACGCCTTAACCCACTCCGTCCTGGTCTCACACCTTAACCCATTCCGTCCTGGTCTAACACCTTAACCCACTCCGTCCTGGTCTCACTCCTTAACCCACTCTGTCCTGGTCTCACACCTTAACCCACTCTGTCCTGGTCTCACACCTTAACCCACTCTGTCCTGGTCTAACACCTTAACCCACTCTGTCCTGGTCTAACACCTTAACCCACTCCGTCCTGGTCTCACATCTTAACCCACTCCGTCCTGGTCTCACACCTTAACCCACTCCGTCCTGGCTCACACCTTAACCCACTCCGTCCTGGTCTCACACCTTAACCCACACTGTCCTGGTCTCACACCTTAACCCACTCCGTCCTGGTCTAACCACTTAACCCACTCCATCCTGGTCTCACACCTTAACCCACTCCGTCCTGGTCTCACACCTTAACCCACTCCGTCCTGGTCTAACACCTTAACCCACTCCGTCCTTGTCTAACACCTTAACCCACTCCTTCTGATCTCACACTTTAACCCACTCCGTCCTTGTCTCACACCTTAATCCACACTGTCCTGGTCTCACACCTTAACCCACTCCGTCCTGGTCTCACACCTTAACCCACTCTGTCCTGGTCTCACACCTTAACCCACACTGTCCTGGTCTCACACCGTAACCCACTCCGTCCTGGTCTAACACCTTCACCCACTCCGTCCTGGTCTCACACCTTAACCCACTCCGTCCTGGTCTTACACCTTAACCCACACTGTCCTGGTCTCACACCTTAACCCACTCCGTCCTGGTCTCACACCTTAACCCACTCCGTCCTGGTCTCACACCTTAACCCACTCCGTCCTGGTCTCACACCTTAACCCACTCCGTCCTGGTCACACATCTTAACCCACTCCGTCCTCGTCTCACACCTTAACCCACACTGTCCTGGTCTAACAC